AAAACAAAAGGGGGGGGGGGGGGGGGGGGGGGGGGGGGGGGGGGGGTGATTGATGGACTGCAAAGAGTGTTCAGACGTTTTACGACAAAGCTACAGATATTAAATATTCTCACATTTTCCATTGAACAAAATGTAAAACAAAAATTAAAAAACAAAATGTAATTTGAATGGCGTCGAATATTGATGATTTTTTTTACATTTTTCTTACGCAATGTAATTGACAAATTTGATGATTGAAAATGGTTTAATTCATAGTAAAAAAAATACTCGGATATCCTTAAATCTGAATCCATACGAATTTTGACACTTTCAAAAATGATGTCTAGTGTCAAAAAATCAGTGTTTTGAATTTTTTCAAATGTGTCGAACCAAATTAAAATGCATTCATCATTTTGGTATTTTTCAATTCAGTAGCGAAGCGGTGAACCGGGTTAAGTCGATTTGACTTTTCGTCAGTTTTTGATGGATATCTCGGAACCTAAGAGAGATAGCGAAATTTCGCTCATGACCTTTTTTATAACATTTAATTGCATCTACAAAAAAGGTTATGACAAAATTTTTTTTATCTCTTTTAGATTCCGAGATATTCGTCAAAAACTGGACAATAGTCAAAATCGACTTAACTCGGTTTACCGCTTCGCTACTGAATTTGAACCTGATGTCTCGATTTATTTATTATTTCTCCCCTGTTCAATGCCACCCTCATTACCTGAATCAACCAGAATGATCGTCCTGGGCAGGCTCGTGTGCTAGCAGCCAATATCCTCCTCTCAGTTTCATTTCGCAGATTGACAAGACAACCACACCGGCACTTGTTGCCAATTTCCGCAGTAACCTCTGGCCTCTCAACCGCCAGACCCTTTCCATGATTGCACTCCCAGTCGTTCGGTGTCAAATTGCTGTTTAGATTCAGCACACCGGAGCCACCGCAGGGCTCAGTTTCCACGGCTTTTCCCTGACAGAATTTAGCACCATAACGCGGTGGTGGATTGTCACAGAATCTGTAGCGATTTCGAACACCACCCACGCAGGTACTGCTGCAGGGACTCCAGGGGCTCCATTGACCCCAGTCACCCGCATCACTGTCTGGTGGAGATAACAGACGAACGGAGACAGAATAATTGAAAAGTCTATTGTCATTCTCTTGTCAAGTGGAAAAACGAAATGGGATATCTCGGAAAATCTTACGTCTTAAAAATCTTACACTGATTTTACTCATTAAACTTTGTAGGTCTGAAGTGGAATCTCGATGTTGAAACGTTAAAAAACATTTTTAACATTTGAAAAAAGAAATTAGAAAGTTTACTTTTGGAGGAAGTTGGGTGAAATGACTTGAAAATTGTAATTTTTGAAAATTATGAGGCTTTTCTATGAATAATTTATAAATAGGGGAGGATGGGGTAAAATGGACACTTTGGACTTTTTTAAAATTACTAATACCTCAGAAACAAATTCATCAATTGAGCTCAGTTTAGGCTCATTACAAAGGGAAAGAAATGTTCTTTGCATTGAAAAAAAAACTATTGAATTTCATCAACATTTCAAGCTGTTATTAACATTTGAAAAAAAGTCAAAAGTGTCCATTTTACCCCAACCTCCCCTAATCAATTTTTCATCGGAAAAATCATTTGTTCGGAATCATAAATTTATTCATATTCATATTTTTGCCAGAAATCGATTTGATGCATAAAAAAATTAAATTTTGTTTTAAACAAGGAATGTTTAAAACAATAATAATTCTGTGGAAAATGTAATTCGAATGATGCAGTTAACTCATGAGATTTTTGAATTCACTATTTGCAACCACTGAACCATCTCTTTCACGTTTCCAAATAATTCAGTTGATGATTCCCCCAGAAATAAAGTATTTCGTTTACCAAAGGGAATTGCTTATTTATTTCGTGAATTTTGCTCAGTGGGAAAATTTAATGTAATTTAATAAAAAGAAAGTTCTATCATTTTTTCCGGTTTAATCTCCTCTGAATCCACCTAGTCCTAATCTCCAAGGCCCCAGCGTATGACCATACGATTTGCCCCGCGCCATCATAAAAGCCATGATGGAAGCGCTCCAAACATACATCCTCATTGCTATTGCAATTGTATTCCCGCCCCGTCTTTATCTCCTATCATTCGGCTGATTCCCTTTCACGAACGTTGAAATAGGCTCATGGGATCGTTTTTCCACGAATGGAGGCCTGCTGGAGATAGATGAGATCTCGAAACACTTTCTCAAAAGCCATGTATTCAGCTTCACGACACGCGACGACTTTTTCAATTATTGTTGGTATAAAATTTTCAATTTAACTCCGGATGAATCGCGAAATCCATTTAACATCGGTCTCCATAAACTATCGACTTTATATCTGAACTTAAAATGTTATCCATTTCTCATCTTCTTTCAGGTTATTCAAGCGAACGGTCCCTGGTATTATACGGAAATATTTTCTGAAAAATCGCATTTTTGATGGGATTCATCTAGGTCAGGTGAATGTAATGAATTGAATTCATCGATTGAATGAATATTACCAATTTTTGTCACTTAGTCCGTGAAGCGTTGCCGCACGGATTGACTGACAAAATACACTAATTTTCAATATAACACTCAATGACCCAATTGCAGTTTACTCGTACTACACTGAGAGAAAAACGACAACGCTCTCAAACAAGTCTTACTTGTGCCAAGAAAATANAAAAGTGAACTTTTCGGCACGCTCCGCGTGCCTAAAAGTCCAATTTCCGCCACATTGTGATGAAAAATATTGTTCGTAACTCGTGAAATAGTATATTTCGTAACGAGTGCAAAAAACATTTTTTCACGGGTTACGAACAATATTTTTCATCACAATGTGGCGGAAATTGAACTTTTAGGCACGCGGAGGGTGCTAGAAAACATGTGTTTAAAAAACATTTTTTCACGAGTTACGAACAACATTTTTCATCACAATGTGGCGGAAATTAGGCTCCGCGTGCCTAAAAGTTCACTTTTCGTCACAGCGTGATGAAATAGTATATTTCGTAACGAGTGCAAAAAAATGTTTTTTGGCGAGTGGCAGGTTTATATCATGAGCCGAAGGCGAGCGATATAATCCCACGAGCTAAAAAACATTTTTTCAAGAGTTACGAACAATATTTTTCATCACAATGTGCCGAAAAGTTCACTTGTCGTCACAGCGTGATGAAAAAATGTTTTTTAGCTCGTGGGGATGTTTTTAGCAGTGGGCACGAGCCGAAGGCGAGTGATATAAACCTCCCACTCGCCAAAAAACACTTTTTTGCACTCGTTACGAAATATACTATTTTGAAAATGATGAAAAAAGGATTTTTTTCTGCCAAACATGCAGAGAGTGCGCCGGAATGAAAAATTTTTGTCGCAAAAATAGATTCAATAGTTCAAAAAAAATGGCATTCTCTGTACACGCAAGAAATGTCATTTCTAGCACTACTCCTTCGTTATTCGATACTCCCATACGTATTTTACTCCCGAAAAATCTTTGTTTAATGGGGAACAAGGAATAGTAGTTTTTCATTTCGGCTGTCTAATAATCACAGACAAGAAATGAACCCTTAAATGAAACAATAATAATGATATGACAGCAATCCTGTAACTTGGGGATAAAATATTTGTCGATAAATTTTCCTCTGTATGAGATATTTTCATCCTGAAAAGACACCGTCTGGTGTGAATTATCCGCCTCTTGAGCCAAATATTTCGTTGCTGTCGAAAGCAGAACAATTATTCATGTTTGAGACTTTCAAATTCGAACCAAACAAATTCTTTTTTGGCAATTTTCAACTAGCGATTTTGTTGGCCCAAACAAGACTTGTTTGACAACGTATTTATTTTTCTCTCAGTGTACTTCAAGGCTCAAGGTTCTGTTACGTTCAGACCTTTTGATCAATTCCATGGGTTCATGCAATCCCCTAAAATTTGACGTTTGTCACTTGAAAAAGATCCAGAAATAGTCCCCACAAAACCAATTCCATTTTACAATCTTCTTTACCTTGATATCCCCCAACAAAATGGCGAGAAAAGAGAATGCTGATTGTGAACAGATGGGTTTTCGCCTTTACTACACCCCATTTAAAAACACCTCGGCATAACTCGGGATAGATAATGTTCTACCGTTTACATTCACGCCGTCGGTTAACTGTTGAATGATTGAGGTGAAGAGAATGCGTTTAAAAAGAGTAAAAACACGAACGAGAACAGAGGAGTAAAACAGAATAGATTTATACCACGGGTTCATAGTTTACATAAAAGTAAGTTGAGGTCGGTTTATATGCAAATTAAAATAATTCCATTAGCTTTAGCCCCCGGTATTTACTTTCTCACTCACTCCTCCACCCCCCACTAGCCATTCAACCAGTGTCATGGTAACACCTAGAGTAATTTGATTGTTGTCCGGTAGCATTGCTAATTAACTCTCATAATTATTCTACTGATTTGCACTTTTACGTCGCTCAATTTCATCCGAAGACTTTTATCGAATTGCAGAATAGAATAGAATACTTTATTTCCTGGGAGCTACTGTCACAGTTTTACATCTACACAAGCAAAAGAAAAATATCTCCAATAACACTCCAATAAATTATTTTTATATCACCAACGTATATTTTATCGAATTGTAATTGTTTTCATTTTATTCAGACGTTTTTTAATCTCTGAAAAATGTCTGCAAGTGTATGAAATTCCGACATTCCTTTTTACTGTGTAAACAATTGAAAGAATAAAAGAACTACCAATTGCAAAATCGGATGAATCAATACGATTTCCATTCATTACAACATCTCCGCTAATTCCAGGGAAGAGCATTCCGATAATAATCATAATTTCCATAACTACGAGTAACACAATTTTATTACGAACCAATGGGAATGCCCATTAACTCCCTCAATTACCACAGGAATACACTGAAATATTTACGCACTCATTTACTAAACATTACTTTGATACCCGCACTCATTTCCCAACACCGTATTCTCTATGAAATTCCCCCGAATGTGTGTTGTACTAGGTCATTCATATGAATTTATGGAAACTAAATGACATGCAGCTCCAGCGCAACATTACGGATCAAGTGAAATATTGTACAATCGAAGTGTGTAATGAATTATCTATCAGTTACGATCTCGCGTTATGACCAGAGAGCGTTTACCTCGTGTCGGATGCTAATCGTTTACGAAGAGCACTCACAAGATATTCTATATTATGATTAGAACATATACGGCTATCGGGTGATCATAAATTAATTATCGGTGATTATATTCTGATTGCCATATCCAATAATGAAGGTTTTAAATTGATAAAAAAAATTGATGATTGATTTTTTCAATTTTAGGATGGAAATAAAGCCAAATAAATTGAATTTAAGAAAAAAATTATTCATTAAAATTAAGTTTCAAAAACAATAAATGAAGTACCCAAATTAATAAAATTGGTGAAAAATGGTAAAATTGGCAACTATTCTAAAATTGTTAAGTAGAATTGATTTTACGAATTAACATAATCAAAATAATAATAATAATAATAATAATAATGTGATATCAAAATAAAAATAATGATAATGTTGGGTGATTTAATTTAAATGAAATTTCAAGGAAAATTAAATATTTGGTGAAAGATGTTAATTATTGACCTGAAAGTGCCTTTTCGAATAACGAAAAAGTAGCATTTGAATTAAGAGTGCAATAACTTCGGAAACAACTCGCACTCGCCACATTTGTCATTTTCATTATGTATTAAAAAGCTTGACCAAAAAATGTATAATATGATAAATAAATCAATAAATGAATAAATAATGATGAAAAATGTCCAATAAATTGTCGCCTAGAATCCCAAGGGATCCAACAATAACTGAGATTTCTACCAAAAGTTCACGAGATGAAATCCCTGAGATTCCCGGATATTCCCAAGATCCTTAATTAAGACTCATTACCATCGTCTTCGGTATTTCCCACTATCCTTCATGGATTCCAGGTCACCGATCGATACGCAAGAGGTGTATTATCTCGTCCGTTTGATAAATGCATAAACTTCGATGGGCAATCGCTCCAAAGTGCTGTCGCGAAACCGTTAATCTCCCTCTTATTACCCGGGATATATCTGTACATCTCGTGTATAATGAGCTTAAGACGATGCTAAATGAGATACAACATCTCAAACTCATGAAAACTTGGGCGATGAAATTTTGATTACAGAAAGAAACTGTGTTTTGCTTTTTTGGTATCAAGTTTTTGCTCGAGTTTTTGATAAGCCAGCTCTCGGGCTAGTTGTCTCGGACAATCAAGGGGAATTTGAATAGTCTCTGCCAGTTCATTGAGCCTTTTGAGGGAAGATGAGAGAGTTAATTGACTTTGTTAGATGAGCGAACAAAAATGGAGTTTTGTAGGGAAATAATGAGGAATCTCTTGCAGTCAAGATTATCGCTGAATTCTTCGGGCTTTTGTCGGGTTGATGTTAGTTAATGTTAATTAGGTTCTCTTGTAAATAATTCAATCGAGAATCCTCGATGAAAGATGAAACGATTGATTCATCGACAAAGAATTGTTCTAGTTGCGGAGATGCTGACGACAATATAGTCGATTCATTCGATGTAATTGAGCTCATCTTGGGCGTTGGAACATTTTCTATTTAATTAATGAAGAGCTATTTCGATTTTTTTTCAATTGCGCCAACACCAGATCAGTGAATGAAGACAGAAAGTCTCTAATTTTTGGCTCCAAGTTACTCATTTTGAGAAAAACATTGTTTTTTGTAAGGATTTATAAACAGAAGTGAATTTTAGAACAGGAAGAATCATTAATTATTAAGAACACCAAAATTGTGAAGTAAAAAAAATTTGTAAAAAATGTGGCTCGATTGAAGTTCAATTAAACTAGATTGACGTCTAATAATTGAGAATTAGATTTTTTCCCAGACATTTCCCCGAAAATGTTCCCAGAAAATTCCACTTACTCTGGAATTCGCAGATTTTCACAGCAGAAAAACTCGTTTTCTCCCAATAAAATAAAATTTGACATTCGATACACAAAAAAAAATCCAACAATCTCTCACTTTCATTCCCACGAATTCCAATAATGATCTCTCCACCTCCTAGTCACCTTTCATCAAAATTCCTCTCCCCCCACCGAATAAATGATCGTAATAGAGAGCTAGAGCACATCCAATCAATTTTACCTTGAACAGGAAATGTAGGAATGCAATCTACTCTGACTTCAGCCATCGCATTGTTAATCGCCTGGCTGACATAGACAAAGCAGTACTCGACAAATTTCTCAGTGAATATTTCACAGTCAAATGTTAGTGTGTGCTTGCCAGGTGGTGCTTTAAGCTCAGCAACGTAGTGCAGGGTTGATGGTGGTGCTAGGGATGCTACGTCAGCCCTTAGGCGGCCATACACCCTGACACGATCCTCCTGAAGACGACAGGATGGATACTCGAAGAGAACTGAGAGACCACCTGAATTTCCATCGCACGGGTAGACTGATCTTGCGTGAACGTTGAAAACGTATTGGTTTGATATTTCAACCTGTTCAACAGAAATTACGGTGGCATTCTTTTAGATGTTGTTGGGAGGCTAATGAATGAGGGATGAAATTCTCTCGTTAAGTGGTCAATAGAGAATTTATTTTTGAAAAAAAGCGAGGCGAAATTATGAATTATGGAATGGAATAAAATAAGAGAAGTCAGTTTATTTTCATTTTCATTTTTCATTTTGCTTACTTTATTTTAATTTGTATCCTTTTAAATTTATTATTATTATTATTATTATTATTATTATTATTATTATTATTATTATTATTATTATTATTATTATTATTATTATTATTATTATTATTATTATTATTATTATTATTATTATTATTATTATTATTATTATTATTATTATTATTATTATTATTATTATTATTATTATTATTATTATTATTATTATTATTATTATTATTATTATTATTATTATTATTATTATTATTATTATTATTATTATTATTATTATTATTATTATTATTATTATTATTATTATTATTATTATTATTATTATTATTATTATTATTATTATTATTATTATTATTATTATTATTATTATTATTATTATTATTATTATTATTATTATTATTATTATTATTATTATTATTATTATTATTATTATTATTATTATTATTATTATTATTATTATTATTATTATTATTATTATTATTATTATTATTATTATTATTATTATTATTATTATTATTATTATTATTATTATTATTATTATTATTATTATTATTATTATTATTATTATTATTATTATTATTATTATTATCTATGACTATTTTTTTTTTAGATATTTGAAAAAACGAATGGTTTTATCACTGAGGCTATGAAAGTCCATTATTGGTACATGTTTTTTGGGGTTCTATAAGGGGGGAACTGAAAGGCTCTTCAATTTCTATCGACATTAATCAATTTATCGCCTAATGGACATATCTGGAGTGTTCAAATGATGGAAAAAACTCCCGAGTAGTCATTTTAGTCAAATGTGGATTTTCATTGAGTGATCATTTGCGAGAGATGAAATGTTCACATTAGAGGTGCCATAATTCGGTCACTGACAGTAGTCTAAAGGTGAGTTTAATTGTGTTATTTTATGATGCCAGTGCTTTGAAAATGTCTGAGACATCTGTGAGAAATAGCGCAATTTCTGGTCAGACATTTCTCGTAAAGAATAGGGAGTGAGGGGGTGAATGTCGTCAATTTGCGGATGCAAACGAAAAAATATGTAAATAATTAAAGAATTGTAATTTACAAATTTAAGTTTACTAAAAAAAATTAGTAAGTTGACTCATGTTTTAAAACTCAATTTTTTGGTGCGGAAAAAACGCGGCAAAGTCTTGTCAAATTTTCTAAATAAATATAATTGAAATCTATAATTAAAATACCTTGATGTATGCAGAGATCATCGGTGCAGTTGAGTTCCCATCGGTCGGCTTTAACCTCAGCGCATAATGGCCAGCTAATCCGAAGAATTCACATCGCATATAGAGAATTTTTTGCATCGGAAATCCCTTGATTTCCTCGTTGTACAGCATCTGAAATTTTAAGGGTGCCAATCGTGTTTGGTGACAATATCACCGTATCTGTCTATAGTTCAAAAATTTGGACAATTAAATTCATTCTGTTTTTCCTTAATTATTTTTTTTAAGATTGAAAAAATAACTATTTTAGTGAACATTGAAAAATTAATGTGCTTCGATTCCTAAAAACTTCGATAACTTTGGCAAGAACTTTGTTCAAAAATTTGGACAATTAAATTCATTCTGTTTTTCCTTAATTATTTTTTTTAAGATTGAAAAAATTACTTTTTTAGTGAACATTGAAAAAGCTCATTTTTCAAGGGCATACATGACACTCTTAACATCACATTTTTCGTTCTCCCCCTTCGATTATTTTCTCCTGTGAAAACTCTTAGCCCGTACCTGAGGAATACTCCGATTTCTCGGATCACAGGACAGCACACTGGCCCCACAGTAGATAAGCTGAAGTGAGTAAGTGTCAACTGGGAGTCCCTCGGCGGGTGCACACGAGATTCCAGTGTACTCGAGGGTCGCCAGAACTGGCTGATCGGGGTAAGTGTTGAAGTGCTGGGGCTCCATAGTGAGGGATGGAGTTGGCCATCTCACGTCCAAAGTTGTTCTCACCTGTCAAAAAAACATTCCACGGGTATTAGAGATTTAATCGAAGAGTCTTCAACTCGTGGCTTTCTTTCTCTTCTTAATACATTTAGGGGCTGATATTTCCTCGATTTTTCTTGTGGGAGATGGGGCTTTATAAAACATCTGCGGTTGGTTTGCAATAGCACGAGTAAATAAATAAACAATCAAGGAACAATGACATGGATTGAATAATCAGATTGGGATATAGTATAAATTAATTTTTAGCGAACAGTCCTGTTTTCATTCCATTTTTCACGGTCAATTACCGGATTAAAACAAAATATCTATATAATGTGCTTAACGATTAATTGAATTGATACTTAAGAAGGCAATATTTTGTAAATTATATTATCATTTAATTCATTATTGCGTTGGTTTATTAATTCTTCGTTTTTTTTATTCGATTGTGCAATTATTTTAAAAATCAGGAGTTTGAGGGTAAAATATCATCGAACCTCTTTGAAGCTTAGAAAATCCTCTACAGAGTCTTTTCTCATTCAGGCAAAAAAAAAATCTCCGGATGTTTACAGAAATTTCAATCCGGTGAATTATCAAATTAAAACCTTAATTTTCCCCTATTTATCAAAAACATCAGTTTCATGTGTTCTTCCATCGCTATAAAAAATGACAGAATTGTTCTCGACCCTCGAAAAATTGAATTTTCAGAAAATGATAAACATCCTTAAATCATGGTGGAAAATGGAAAATTAATTGTCTAGTGAAAACGATAAATTACGCATGTGCATTAATTAAACAGACCCCCGACGCACCTGAATATTACTGAAATCAGTGAATTTTGAAGTAGGTGGCACAGAGCTGCGCTCGAGTACAAGAGAATAAGCTCCACCACGAGAGAAGAATCCGCACGGAACAGTGAGCGAGACATTTCCAGTTTGAACCATCGGAGTTTCGACAGTTACCTCGCCAACTAGTTCCGATGTAAATCCATCGAGCCGCATAACTCTGCAACAAAATGTTTTCTCCACTTGAACTCAGAGCATTCGTTCGATGCCCTTCAACAATTCAATACTTATAAATTCTCTCATCTTATTTTTCTGCAATCACCGGACGAAGAGAAAAGTTGAGTAATAATTATCCAGAAAATTTTGGAAAATTTTGCTATTTGAAAAATTGAAAATCAATTGGAAATGTTTTTATAAAAAGACCGAGACTGATGGTTTTTAAAAATATTCACCACTGAATACTGAATGAACAATGTACCTAAGAACAAAGGGATCACGATCCGGAGTAGGTGGCATCCAGGAGTCATACTCCTCGTTATCCATCTCTCCCTCCTCCTGCTCCATGATAATGTCAGCCTCCTCCTCAGTGGTTGTTTCAATCCTAGGTGCATCTGTTGTTGTTCTCCTCTCCCCTAAATTCATGATAAAGACCTCGAGATCGCCGGACAATGCCGTGTGAGAGGCAGCGACAATCAGACGCGAAAACAAGGTCTCCTCCATCGTCAGAGTCGGTTGCATTGTCCCTGTAAAATTTTAACAATTTCCATTATCATCAAAAACTCGGTGCATAGTTGGAATTGAATTATAATGAGAGGAAATATGAGAGTAGAAGAGAGACACGGTTCTCGTTTTCCGGGACACATTCGCAGGTTTTAGGAATTGACCCCCTAATTTTGAGAAATTTTTGATACTGGAGTGTCAAATTGTACTTAATTTTTTGTGTTTTATTAATTTTTAAGGGCTAATTGCGCTGAAATTCATAATTTTCATAAATTTTAAATTCGCTTGTGAAACCTTTCGTCAATTTTCAATTAAAAAATAAATATTTAGTATCAAATTACGTTAAATTCTTCGCACTTTTATTAATTTTTCATTGATTTTTACATAAAATTCTGAATTTCCGATGATGAAATTCCTTAAAATTCCACTGGAGCCGTCATTACTGTCTCGTCAAGTTTAGCCAATTTAAATTAATTTTCAACGTGTGATAAAGACAAAGCAAAATGATTTTTTCGACAAGTAATAAAAAATAAAACAAGAAAGGATGGAATGAGCCCTGGACACCAGAAAATTCCATTTAAATGTAATAAATGTCTCGGTGAAGGAGTCACCTGTGTCCCCGATCCGGGGTAACGAGATTCACATCACAAAATCGATTTGCGTGGTTGGATACACGAGTTGGAAGGTGGTACTGGGGGCTTGTTATCTATCACGAGGGATACCAGAGTTTGGTGCTTTTAGCACTGGGGACATATCAGTTCGACTGGAACAATGATTATTCACCTAACACGACGCGAACGTACGGGGTAAATGGGTAATATGGACATTGCTGAGATACTCGCGCTGCTGTTGCCCAAATCGACCATGGGAATGCAATATGTCGACGCGATAAATCAATCAATAACCGCAGAGGAGGCCTCTGTAATAAGCCATTAATTTCACTAAACATCCTGGGTGTTGTTAATTAAATTTGTAATTCCGTCATTTTTTTTTGACTCGGAGAAATTTAACGGAGCGAGTCAATATGGTGTTATTGATAATTTGCATTCATTGCTGGAGAAGAAAATTTTCTATTCTTTATTTTAAGGATATCCGAGTATCTTTTATAGTTTGGCGCAGACCACACTACAGATTCAACCATTTTCCATCATCAAATTCGTGGATTAAATTGTCTGAGAAAAATTTGAAATAAGTCAGGAATATTCAGCGGCATTCAACTTACATTTTGCAGAGTATCATTTTTTTTAAAGTCACTGTTAATAATAGCCGAGCTGAGGGCGAGGTCTGTACACACATTCATTGAAAACGAAATTTATTACTGAGTGCTCTATAATATTTTATGTCAAGTCGTGCAGAAGTCGAGTCTCGAGCAGGCTGCGCGAAGCGCAGCGTGCGATAAACTCGACTTATTGCACGGCGCGACATAAATAAATCATTGGAATTGTTTAAAATAAGGTTTCGGAAACGTTATTTTTTTTAGGGATGAAATCGAGTTTTGGTAAAATTGTAAATAAATTCTGAATAAATTTGTTGTTTATAAATTATTTGTAGAAAATACTGGTAAATAAAAAAATGCAGTTTTTAAATTATTTCATCAATTTTCCTCCAAAAGTAAACTTTCTAATTTTTTGGAATAAATCTTCAATTATTACAATATTCATCCCTGTTAAATGTTCTTGAAGAATCTTGAAGAACTCAAAGGATCTTAATTTAAGAACCCGATTTAATGCTTTTGTCTACTGCAAATAAGTAGGTCTCTAGCACACAGAAAATAACTGCTCAATCTAGGTAATCGGAGACCGAAATTGTTTCAGGAATTTTTATTTAAAATCAAGGAAAAAATGTGCGGCAAATGGAAAAACGGGCGAATTCCACCGAATACTCAGCGAATGTTCGTTACAATTTTTTTTTGTCCAGAAACTTTTCTCATTTCTGTAAATTTTTTAGATAATTTTTTTTACCGCGAAATCCTGAACGGTCTCTTCAGAATAAAAAGGATAAAAAATATGATCTTGTTTGGCCCATCATAGATTCATCACATGCAGTACATAATAGTTGGGCAGATAATTGTTCCCATCCCCATATCAAAATAATATTGATCTTTCACGCCTGTACCGCCCTGAGACATCCATCGCCCCCTCTGAAAGATGCAATACTATTACCAAGACACGAGACAGTGTATCCTCGAGCTGTCGCTGGCACAGAGTCGTGTAAAGTCAAGACGTTCGGACTTTATCGACCCCGAGTAGTCCATCCCATTGGATTGGTGTAGGTGCAAATCGCTAAGGCAGTCTACTTCCAAGCGGAAAGGTCTCGAAGCCGCGGGGGTCAATTCCCGCGGGTGGCATTACACGGATCTGTGCGTGTGTATCGTATATGTTTTAGCTGAGGTATACGAGAGAATTGAGATATCGCGAGGAGACGAGATGACCCACGTGAATGGCCATAAAACGTTGTACCTGGGTGGCTCCAGGGTGATTGCACCCGATGAACTTGGAATGGAAGTGGCACAGAGAAAAAAAAGTTTTGATTTTCAGCAACATGTCAGTGATTTCCAAGGACACGTCAATGATTTTCAGGAATTTATCTACAATTATTAACCCTCCTATAGCCGCACGTCTACCCCGAACGTCGTTGATCGCGCGGTAAGCGCTGCGCCGTCCGTACATTTTCGAGCGCAGCGTTGCCAGAGCCATACGAACCTATAAACATATCAACCGCCAGCGACCCCCCACTCCGCACACGCTGCTTGGGACTACCACGAGGGGCGGCAACACCGCTCGCCAAATTCCGCTACGAGAGTGATCGCACGGTGAGCGCTGCGCTCATTCTCGGTAACCGCGCTCGACAAAAAAATTAATTGAGAAAAAAATTGTCAGTGCAGGGCAACCTTACCGTGTTTAATGTCATCAGGACATATCATTTGAGGAACCCGTAAATAGGCAGAGCGTAATTCATCACATTTCTAGAGATATCGTGAAAATAATAAAAACGGCGGCGTTCAGACCATAGCGCGATCACTGGAGGGTTAAGGCGTTTTGAGTGAAAAGTCAACATAATGAAAAAGAGGCTGAAGTATTCGGATTAACCGTCAGAAAATAAATGGATCGAGCAATGAATATAGAGTGGTTTTTTTTGGGTGGGGGTGTGTTTTGTGACAGATTGATTTATTTGTGTTTTGATGGAGAAGGCGGATGATGGGAGTGACAGGGTCAAGTGATTGACAGTATTCAGTCGAAATATCAATTGTTGGGGGAGATGATGTTAGAAGAGGAGCAGACAGAGAAAAAATCCACTTCACAGGGGAAAATAGTGTAGTGGGAGAAGAAAAAATTGTCATTCTGGCCGTAAGGCAGCGATTACGGACGCGTAGTGATGTGACAAAAAAATCTGCGGGTGGCTGTATCTGTGATACAACCGTTAATTTAAGTGGATACGTCTAGGGTCTTCACATCCAAAATTTGTGATCCACAAATTTGATCTCTTTCGTGCAATGATAACCAATTGTGGGTATATTGCCGAGTAGCGCTAAGGATTCCTTAAAATTGTAATCTATTTCGACTGAAATTGTCGAGAAAAATCTGTAATTTCTAGAAAAATTTAGAATTTTCTAGAAAATTCTAGAATTCAGACGGATGGCGTCAGTGTCGATAAGGAACCCTAAGGACTTTTCCTGAAATACCCTCCCATAGTGAAAACAGACGTATCCACGTCACAAACTCTTCTGGCGAATATGAGATTGCAGCCCAAGCCGATGGTGAGTCACTGGTGCTTGTGTCGAAATGCAATTTACATAATTTGTCACGAGCAAAAATTCGGTTGAGATAAATCAAAATTTCAAATTATTTTGATATGGTCTTACGGTATGATTACGATGTTCAGATTGTAATTTTTAATTTTACATTTTCTCCGTATATCAAACTATAAAAAATACTTGGATATCCATAAATTAAAGACACTTTCTTCAATACTTATTCAAAAAAACCAAAAAGTTCTCCCGCTAATAAATCAATCAAATCCAATTCAGTAGCGGAGCGGTAAACCGGGTTAAGTCGGTTTTGACATTTGGCCAGTTTTTCATTAATATCTCGGAATCTAAGAGAGATAGCTAAATGTTTCTCATGACCTTTTTTATACCCCTCAATCGTCTTTACAAAAAAGGTTGTGACAAAAATTTTCCCATCTCTTTTAGATTCCGAGATATTCGTTAAAAACTGGCCAGTAGTCAAAATCGACTTAATCCGGTTTACCGCTTCGCTACTGAATTAAACTCTCTCTCTCTCCCGCCCTCTAAAACTCCTGAAACAGAAGATGAAGCCCAGAAAATCGTGATGAAGCCCCACGTGACCTTGTGTAATCCAAACAGATAAATGTTTTGGATTGCGCACGGTGTAACTTAATCCGGAGCAGTTTATCCAATGATATCAAACATTAGACCGGCTAAATTGAATAAAAATCAGCGAAAACTCCCGATGGTCGTGGAGGGCTACATTGTAGGCAGTAGCTTCAGTAAACCATGTGTAGCGACACTTGGGGACTGACTGCACATGACACATGCCACAATTTGTCGTCGACGAACCGCGAAGCGTTATTTCTGATAGAAGGTGACGGAATGGGAATTCCGATTGCATAACCGAGGGAGTTTCAGTTCGAATGCCTCTATCGTGGGCGATTTTGAGAAGTCGAGGGTTATTGTCGAGGAGAGGAATTTTTCAGGGAATGTAGTGAGCGGCCTCGGGGGATTCCCCGAGTTTTCTGTTTTAGTCGTCTCTTCATGAGTTTCTGAAGTGAAGTGCTTCTGCTTTCAGTTCTTTTTAACTTGTTTCTAAATTGAATTAAACAGTTCATTTAATTGTTCAATGTAATTTAGAATTATCGATAGGAACTCAGATAATTTATAAACAATAAATCAGTTTTCCACCACAAAAATCATCGATTTCATGACTCAAAAAATAAGTTTTCCTAAAGTTTAAACAATTTCAACTATTTATTTATAAACAACGAATTTTGAACAAAATAAGAATTTTAATTGATGGTTGAAAATGGTTAAATCTATAGTCTGGCTGTAAAAGATACTTGGATATGCTTAAACGGGAAACGTTTCAAAGGGATTAAAGTCTGGAGTTGGTGAATATCAATTCAAGATTAACTGCGTCAAGATGCCAGGTGATTTACTTTGATAACAAAGGCTTCATCAACACGAGTTCAGTACCGGAAGAATCAATTCAAGAAGAAAAATAACGAAAAATTCAGATAAATATTGAAACTTAAGACGATATCCATTTGAAAATTTATGAAAACGAGATATTCAGGACCCTTTCCCAATCAATATTTTCCTGAAGATCCCCCTGGAAAATTCTCCATCTCCCTTCGCTCCCAAGATGTTCATCGAAAAAAAAATATCCCCTCAGCTTGAATTTCTGAATTATCTCGTTTTAATAATTCACGGGTGCATTTATTTCTCCAAAGTTCCGCCTGAAAAATTCTTTACATCATAATCCCCATCTCATCCGTCCCAACAAGCGAAAAAAAAAATCATCTCCCTAGACGCCTGCAAGAGGTACAAATATCCAGTTATGAAAACGAACAAAACATTAAATAAAATCAAATATTTTATTTAATTCAATGGTTTCTGAAATCCCTCTGTATCGAACCTAAAATCCTCCGAGGAATACTGTCATGGTTTCCAATATAACTCGCTTCTTATATTTTTCCGGTGGAAAAATCCCCCGACTCGACAACAGAATTCCAATATGTAAGGTTTTTCCACTATCTCATGTGATTCCTCGTGCTCAAGAATGCAGTATTCTTCAGCTTTACCAATTTTTTTTTCACAGAACCCTCCACGCCTTAACCAAGTGGGTTGCGAAGAGGCCTGAGAGCTGTTTTTTCCGAGTGCACACTCCTCTGTAGTGACACAATGGCCTTTCACTATGCCAGCGGTCTATTCTATCTTCAAGTATCAGTCCTTACGGACCAAAAGCGAGCGCGCTCGCCTACTTTCCCGTTCTTTTGTGATTTTTTCTCCTTCAGATAGATAAAAATCTATTCGCGTTACCTACATATGGAGAATCAATTTTTGTTCTCCGAATTGTCGAAGCGTAGTCGAACACCAGAGCTTTCATTTTTTTAGCCCTATCTGACCCTAAGTTTCCGGACATTTTACAATTATTTTATTATTTTATTTATATATATTTTTTTTTCACATTTTCAGAATGTTTTTTAGCGGTTCAATATGGGGATTGAAATTCAGACTTGCAAAATTTAAATAATAAAATTATTGTAAAATGTAAAAAAAATTTAGGATCAAATGGTGCTCAAATGAAAACTTTGATCGACTACACTGATAGAATGATTCATTTATTCCAAACGAGATTCGTTAACTATTAATGAATGGTAGAGTTGAATATTCGTTAATAACTATTAACGAATGAACATTTGGTGAGACCGAATAGACCCTAAACTCCAACCAAAATCCATTCGTTAACAACAACTAATCCGTTCTATCAGTGTACAAAAGTATAAAAGTATGTCACTGGAGAAAAAATTGGCAAAGTACTTGGATATCCTTAAAAAACGAATCCGTAGTAAATTAATAAATTCCGAATACGGAGAATTTTTTAATAAAATTTTATAGTGCATAGAAATTCACATAGAAATTTCGTGAAATCATTTCTTATCCGATTCAAACAGTCACTGTTGTCTCTATCAACAGCACATGAAGATACAAAAACTCAATAAGTTATGAGACTGCAATAAATTAAGTCATGTAGATTTTTCAAGTCATGTATCATCTTGAGATTTGCCTTAAGCGATTGAAGAAAAATTACTTGTCTCAAGTAGATAAGTTTCACATATTATTATAGAAATTTTTTCTCACAGTAGGAAGTCCTTCATTTTTCTGTCAACGGAGGATTTCTATAAAAACAAAATGCATAATGTACACATGACGCCCAAAAGAGATTTTTCAGCCTCTGGACAGCTTCAACAAATAAAATCCAGGCGCCCTCCACAACATGCCTTTTGCTACATTAATTCGTGCCACAACACAAAGCAAAATAAAGGTGAATATTTCTTTGAAAAGTTCGGTCTTTGAAACACTGCTCCATCCAATTCCACCGGCGTGCATTCAATTCGTTGGAGTAATAGTCGAGTGGCAAATTGCAAAGCTAAACTCTTTTACCCAACATTTTATTACACCGTTGACTCCTGAGTTAATGTGTTGAAATCTACGAATACTAGGCCGTGGAAAAGTCGCACGACAAGAGGTAGAGAAACAAAGGTAAAAGTTTTAATGACCAGAGCGGAAAATACAGCCTCGTTGTTATAACCCTTGTTCTCTTGCCAGTTCTCAAAAAATAAAATCCAGAATGGAGTTAAGGAAAGAAATGAAAATCTGTAAAGCGTAAAACTAAGGGTAGAAACTACGGAGATGGTGGATTTAATGTTGTTAGGGGGGAGGGAGGGGGGGGGGCAGACGAATTTACGAGGGAGTAGAAAAAAAATTTAACGATTATTGTTTACTTGAGAATGTGAGAAATCATTTTCAATTTCGCCTCGGAATATTCGTTTCCTGTTAGAGAAAAATTGAATTTTCAGGGACAGACGACTGGTGACTTTCAGGAGAGTGACATTGAGTGCGATTTTTAGGGGAAAAAAATCATGAAATTTCAGATTCCAATGAAAATTCAATAAAATTTTCATGTTTTGAGCCGCCTTAAGGATCTCTGAGTACTTTGGCTATTTTTTTTCAGCTAAATGCTTTTCGACTTTTGTAGTCGAACATCAGAGCTTTCATTTGAGCCCCATTGGACCTCAAGTTTCCGTTTGCAGGTTTGAATTTGAATTTTGATATTGAATTGTTAGAAAACGTTTTAAAAATCGGAAAAAAATGAGAAATGAATTGGAAAATTACGAGTAATTCCTATAAATAATTTATAACAATTAATTTTTTTAACATAGAAATCATTTGTTCGGAATTGTAATAAATTTATTCATATTCAGAATTTTACCAGTGATTGATTGCTCGGTAATTTTCCTCCAATTTTTTTTCCGTGAATGGCTAAAAAAAATCGAAAAAGTGTTCCGAAAATCGAAATTCGTTGAAAATTCTAGTTCAAATCCGAATAGTTTTCATTTTTCCTCAATTTAGGAATTGAACAGATTATTTCTTTTCGAATATTTAATTATTATTTAATAATAAATTAATAATAAATTAATTAATTTATAAAATAATAATTACATAATTTATTATTATAATACTGAAGAGAATTTCTTGGAAGATAACACCTCTGATTCCCATTAAAAAAATTGTCAACAATTCTCATTTTTTCATTTTCACCGATAGTTTGTCTTGTGGATGGAACGAAACGTATGCACATACGGTGTTTTCTCGAACTCGTACATAGTATAATCCCATGATGTACGATGCCACTCGATGATATATCCCCGGACCAAGAAACACATCCAATCGTTGAGTAGATTGCAACGGATTTTTCACGTGTGCCAACACGAGAATTTATTCAAAAACCGAGATCATTTCTGAGTGTTATGGATGGGAAGTTGTTACACGGTAGTGAGGGCCAATCTGGGGGATGTTATCGAGATAAAAAAATAAGTGAGGGGGAAGTGTCTCGAGGGCATTGAACGTGATAGCGAGAGATCGGTTAATGATTTGGAAGACGTGAGATTTTTCTACTTTGGAATATTGAATTATTCAGGAGATACACTCCTAAAACTGGTGTCTGAATTTCAGAGATTTTTGAAATACTTTCGGGACAGCTTTTTGGACATTTTCCATTTTCATCATTGTTAAAAATTTTGCAATGACATTATACTCAAAATTTCAAGGAATTTCGTCTTCAAAAATTCCCAATGGCGGGGAAAAATCACTCGTAAATAACTGAATTTCAGATGCAAGAAACATCCGAAAATAAATAACTGTCAAAACATTTTCCGACACAAACTCCGTTTCCTAAATGTTTATCGTGTCTTTCTGAATAATGAGAGGCGTTCGGATTTTTTCACTCTCCTCAACCCCTCGCAATGACTTCCTTACATGCCCTGTTAGTTATCGATCGCTCTTTTCATCAAACAATGGTAACTTATAGGTGTGTACGCACGTGTAGGGTCAACGAATTGGTCCCACTGGGACTCCAAATGTGTGTTTAGGTCGTGCAGGGAGAGAACCGCAGCAAACTCGAATATTAGTTATTGAACTTTGCTAATTGTATGATGAAGCTGCGTTAACTTCCAGACGACTTATTCGGGAAATTTCAGGGAGAAGTTTAGACTTGAAACTTGTTCTTGAAGGTGGATAGATGTATCGAGTGAGTAGTTGCCATATTCTTACCATATTTGAGTAAAATGAAAATTATAATCCGTAACGGCGACCATCTGGACGACCAACTCATGTCCACTTCGTCATTGGGAACTGGCTCAAATGCGAGCTATTCTGCAATAATAAATATAAAACACACAATTAGAGGATTATCAAAACATTTTCAGAGAATTATCCAATTCAAAAATAATTTTTCATCACGCTGTGACGAAAAGTGAACTTTTCACTCGCCTTCGGCTCGTGATATAAACCTCCCACTCGCCAAAAAACAGTTTTTTGCACTCGTTACGAAATATACTTTTTCATCACGTTGTGACGAAAAGTGAACTTTACGGCACGCTCCGCGTGCCTAAAAGTCCAATTTCCGCCACATTGTGATGAAAAATATTGTTCGTAACTCGTGAAAAAATGTTTTTTAACTCGTGGGATTATATCACTCGCCTTCGGCTCGTGATATTAACCTCCCACTCGCCAAAAAACACTTTTTCGCACTCGTTACGAAATATACTATTTTGTCACTGCTGCTACGTTCAGCCCGTGTCGAAAAGTGCCTTTTCGTTTACTAGTAAACGAAAAGTCGAAACTTGTAAACGAAAAGACTGTTCGTTTACTAGTAAACGAAAAATGGCACAGTTCGGCACTCGCTGAACGTAACATCACAAAAATCTTAAAAAATCAGGAAAAAATGTATAAAAATTTCGTGCGTAATGCGAAAATAATTGTATGAATGATTTTTTTTCAGGCATTGTAAATTCACATTGATACCCACATCAGTTCATTTTCCCTCACTGCATTCATCGACCTACGTGAACTTTCAAAATACTACTCCAAGATTAACATCTGATTTCGAGATTTCTTTTAAATATTTTTTTTATCAAACACGATTGGCACCCTTGGGGCATTCGTTCTCTCAGTGCTCGCAACATTCATAAACTCCACTTGAAATTGCATCTACATCATCGAAAAGTTGACATACGAGACCGATATACTCCAGCAAAGCGAAAGCTACACGGCTTGTTTACCGGGATATCGGGAATCGGAAGGACACCGCAAGTGAATTAGTCCGCCCTAGCTCCCACCCGTTCTACCCAATACTCCTCCGTGAATCCTGTTCAACTGCATATAAACCACTAGCATCGATATATTGAATCGTCCGAGGATAGGATATGACGTATAGCCATTCATTGAGGGCCAGTGTTTGTCTTGCCTCACCGCAAACAATTCCGTTCTATCCCCCGCCCCATGAAATATCCCCTCAATACCATTATGCTCTGTTTGTATACATCACCAACAAACGTCATTTTACATTTCCATTTACAGTAGAAGAAATAATAATTGCAACAATGGGTCTGTCTCTTTCGATATAAATGAATTAATCTATTGTTATTATACTTGGATAATTTTACGAAAGATGAAATTTAAAATCCGTTCTGCTAAAATACTTTTCGAGACATTGCAAACATTTTTTTGGAGCAAGTTCATCATTTCTTTTGATAGATTTTTTCTTCAGAGTTTTTCTTCAATTGTTCGCTAATGAATGGATGGAATTGACTCTTTTTTGAAATGTAGATATTGTCGAGCCCGATCGATCGCCATTAATTACAATTTCATTCATCGAATAGTTTCACTAATTTTCATTTAATTTTTTTCTTTCTATCACCTTATAATTCCAATGACATTTCAAGCAATTTCTTCATTGAAAATGCAAAATTGCTTGAAAAATCAATGCAAACTGTGAATTTTAGTCCAATTATTCCCTAAAAATGAGTAACGGAAACGAAAATTCAAGTAAATAAATTTTTTTAATTCAAATTAATTGAAAATTCTGCGTAATTTGGTATTGATATCAACGTTTTGATTAAAAATCCAAGTACATTGGAAAATTATCGTCTTCCTGATGCTGAAAACTTTGGGATTTCATTGAATTTTCAGTAATCCCTTAAACTTCATTATTTTTCCCCTCCCGTAGAAAACAATGTAAATCGCCCGAACATGACGAATTTTCAATTTTTTTACACCAGCAGTTTTCCCTCAACTTGTTTCCCCCGCGTGTAATTTAAACGCACGCGATCGATATCACGAAACTCCTGCACAAACCCGATGATACTCAATGTGTACAGCGATCAGAATGGACAGGATGTCCTCAGTCGGGTTGATGCACGATGCATGTTCAAACACGTGGCACCTTTCCTCATGAGTCCCTCAAACGATCCAACGACGTGCAACGCAGAAACCGGCACTCATGTTTGGAATTTCAAACTAAATTGGGTTGAAAATTTGATCCAGCTCACGTCCATGCTCTTGTGAAAACACGAATCGAAGGGTGAGGATGGCAACCGGTAAATCGTTGGATCATGATAATTTGTCTTCTCTTTATCATACTACGTTTTTACTTATATCAAGAAGCTGTGGCATGAAAATTTTCGAGAGCAAAATATCTTGCACTGAAAAAAAACTTTCGTAGAGAAATCTTGTACTTTTCCTAGAGACGAGGACAATTTTTTGATGACAAGAAAGCGATTTCTCGAATCAAGTAAAAATGAATTCATTCATTTAATAGCTTTTTAGCCTCTTCTCAAATATTTTAATGGAAAAACCACTTGAATTGATTTCAAGAACTCGTTTTATCGAAGCGCCCCCCCCCCTCTCCCATAAAAAAATATATAAAAAATATATATAATATGGGCCAATTCCATATATTTTTCACATTTAGAAAATAATATATAAAAAATATATAGAAAACATATTAGGCTGTGAGCTAATAATGAGAAGACTGAAGACAGCGGACAGAATCTGGTGGAAGAATTGGAGAGGAGCACAAACACAGACAAAGTGGAGAAAAAGACTGATAGAGGCTCTTGCAGGGGAAATTGACATAAAACTCTGTATAGGACTAACAAAAATTGAAAAAGTACTGAGAGATTGCGAAAAACCAAAATGAGAATAATAGTATATTTCGATACGAGTGAGACAGAATTTTCACGAGTGTGAAGTTGGCGGCCCGAGGCGAAGCCGAGGGCTGCCAATCACACGAGCTGAAAATTCCTGTCTCACATGTGTCGAACAATAGTTTTTGACAGTGATGTTACGTTCAGCGAGTGGCGAACTGTGCCTTTTTTCGTTTACTAGTAAACGAAAACACTTTTCGTTTACGAGTAAACGAAAAGGCACTTTTCGACACGAGGTGAACGTAGCAGCAGTGTCAAAAATGTTTATAATAGAGTTTTATGCTCAAATAATCTGTGATAATGTTAAAACTAATGCTGGTGATAATTCAAGTATGAAACAATAGTATATTTCGTAACAAGTGCAAAAAAGTATTTTTTGGCGAGTGGGAGGTTTATATCACGAGCTAAAAAACATTTTTTCACGAGTTACGAACAATATTTTTCATCACAATGTGGTGGAAATTGGACTTTTAGGCACGCGGAGAGTGCCGAAAAGATCACTTTTCGTCACAGCGTGATGAAAATATTATATCCATATTTCTAGTGGCTTATGTAAGATGTAAAACTGTAAAAGTAACATCAATGAATGAATAAATCTAATCTATAGAAAACATATTTTATATATTTTATGTCGCGCCGTGCAAAAAGTCGAGATTACCGCACACTGCGCATCGCGCAGCGTGCTCAAAACTCGACTTCTGCACGACTTGACATAAAATATTATAGAGCACTCGGTAATAAATTTCGTTTTCAACGAATGTGTGTACAGACCTCGCCTTCGGCTCGGCCTGTAAACTTCACATTCGTCGAAAACGAAATTTGTGCCCTTGTACTCTAATGTACTATTTGTTATATAAATTGGGCCAATTTAAGATATTTTTAAATATATTTTTCAAAATATAAATTTTTGCGTGTGGGCCGCTCAATTTCTCCCAATCAAATGTATCTCGAGATAACTGGTATTCACTATGAAATCACGTTTATTTGAAAATTAACAATCAAATGAGAGTTCAAATGAAATTCTCTCAATAAAATTAATTTTTTCTGTCACTGCATCGTCACAGTTGATGGAGCTGTTCAGAGGACTCATCCCCTTAATTATCAGCTATTAATCGAGTATAGGAGGAACACCCCTAAGCGGATGATCCCCCTGAGTATCCGTAAATATTGAAAAACTCTTCTCTAGCCTTAATTAATCGATAATCAATGGTGAAAACTGACCTAGCAACCGGGATGCGACCAAGAGCCAAAGTTTCAAAGCCATTTTCTAACCCATAATTTTCTTATCCTCCAGTACCCGAGGGTAGGAACTTTAAGATACTCGGGGGATAATCTCATCGGCTTATCGTAGTCGAATAAATCTATATGTGCTCCTTCAGAAATTCACTTTTCGGTCCGCATTGAGTCTATCCAATGTCAAATTCAATGGAGATATAAAGAAAATGTGAGGGTGGCTGGAGGCGATCGTAAACGCTCAATGTGCATATACCAACGGTAATTGTTTTTCCAATATCCTATGAGGAGGACATAATGGATGTTGATTCTGCATCTGACAATGCATCTGGATTTTTTTGAAAAATTTATTGGACGAACCTGGGGTTGAGTTACTTATTGCGCTGTATTTCATGGGTTCGTTTCCAATTCTGGACGATATTCGAGCTGAGGAAAATCGGAGGTGAATGTTGGGGATAGAGTTAAGCGAAAGAGTTGAGCAAAAATTACTGGAGAGCTTGATTAATCATGGAAATTCCGTTTGACACTTTTTAAAATTTTTGGATGAAATTTATGATGTACCTTACGGAATTTTTCAACGAGTGATTGTTCCGCAGAAATTTCAGGGAATTTCGTCGTTAAAAATTTACAATTGTCAGGAAAAATACCTGAGAACTGTTAATTTAGAATAACTTTTTAGTTTAATTATCGCAAGAAAATTAGTCATTAAACGTTGGAGACAGGCGGAGACAGCAGTCGAGGACAGAGATAGGCAAAATCGTAATGCAGGATTATAATTATTAGATTACATACAAAATTAAATATATTGTACAATGTTTCAAATTTCGTAATAATTTTAATTTTGTTAATTATCAATCAACAATTTCAATTTTGAAAATATTTTATAAATCAGTAATCAACTT